TTCCATTTCAATACGACTGTCCATAATAATACGCTCTGCGTGTCCTGCTGGTACGATGGACCGGGAAATGGCATAAGCTGCATCAACAGACACGTTGATTTGCGCCCATGTTATTACCCATTACGCACAGGTGTAAAGGATGTGCACCATCACCGCGTGGGGAGACAACTATGGTACCTTCATTGTCTTCTCACCACATACCATATTCAATACACTCCAGGGCTTATTTTTTTATCTGCAACAGTTTTTAGTTGTTTCCATATGCCCACAATCTCATACACATGTCCAAAGGCCAGGCTAGTATAGTTAATTTTCCTGTAATCGTGTGTTGAAGAATTCTGCGACAGGTTATAAAATACAACTAAGATTTTCTTGTTAATTGGACTGTACCCAAAAACGGCCTGTGTGTACTGCAGATGGCATGTTCTAAATGCCGGAGAGTCCACAGTCCCGAATAATAATGGCAACTATAACCAGCTTAGATATAGCCATACCACCTAAGCTCATTGCAATGTTACACGTCGCAAAGATCTATCTAAATTAATGTCGAGTCATTAACTGCACATGATTTCAAGTGTTCTTGTTTGCATGGAATCCTTTAAAAACTAGAACTGACTTAAATCGGTACTTTAGGGTTATGTTCTGTCTCACCTGTTATATTTCTATACGAAAGTAATATGTCTACTTATAGTAAGTGAGTAAGGTGTTATGTTACAATAAGAATTGGTACCTTGTTAGTCGTGATGATCGCTTGTGTAAAAAATTCGTTCTATTTCTTTTAATTAAGATATGAGATTAAAGATGCCAAGTTACAGTGCTATTACATTAGAAACAAGTGGTTATGTGTTAGTTAGTAACATTATCGTTTTCTAATTCTTGCATTTTATGACATTCCTTTCTGCTCGCCGGAATGAGTGGTCATCTTCATCACGACGAAGTTGTGCATACCCCTGTATAACGTTCAACAAGTAGGTTTGACGAAATACAATTCGAGCTGTTGCTCCTACACTGTAGTTGGTATTTATTAATCGTAAAAGAGACGTCAGTAACCAGTGATCTTTCAAGAGCGAAATGATATCAATCACTGACCTATGTCTTCATTGTGTGTGCCTAGGAGGGGTGGTCCTGCGCCCTATCCC